TATCGGGGGGGGGGGGAATGTACAATAATAGCGAAGTATCGTAGGGAAAATATTGCGGTGGCGTGGTGTTTCTAAATGTTCCGCTGACGGACGTTAAAGGACGCTACGCGTAAGCCCCGTAAACGATTTCCAATTAAAAAATAGGTATAGTTCTTTATTCGATGTTTATATTTAATATTTCGTCGCGATAACTCGCACTCCGCGCGCGCTCTTTCTCCACCTCTATATCCGCCAATTTCACCGAAATGACTGCGATAATGGGTAACGTGTTTCCCCCCCCCCTCCCCCTCCGCGCGCGCGATATTATTTTCGCCGTTGCAATTTATTATACTATTCATCTAGCCGTCAATTTTGCCGGCGATAATGATGCCGGCGAGTATAAAGCAACGCGGGGCCGCGTGTCGCGCGTCGGTCGATGCCGTTGTAACGTCGACGTGCTCGAAAGTGCCCGCGCCAGAAATTCCCGACCGCGCGCTTTTTCTTTTCTCGAGGAAAATGCGCGCGGGCGGCAGTTCCATTTTCGCTCTCGAAACGTTAAAAGGAACTCATTCGATGTGCGCGACGTCGATCTACGATCGCGCGCGAGACGAGGGCCTCTTGAAAGAAATGCGTATCCAGCTGTCCCTTTGACACCTCAGTTTTACCCCCCTCCCCCCGCTTTTCCGCACGACCGTGTCATACGGCGATCCTCACGAGTCTCGCGACAACGCTTTCTCTTTGAAAACGTTCAAGCGCAGTATAGGACTATTCGTTGCATCCCTCGGTGCTGGGGCAAAAACGCGGAATAATTAACGACCAGCCAGGAATCTTATTAAATCAGGAGGAACAGGAGATTAAAACTGCAATTGCTGAAATGAGCTGGCATCGTATTCACGCCCGGAATGCAATTCAACGAAGCTATGCAAAGTTTTCTAGCAAACAAAGCGTGCTAACGTTTACGTCAGGAGTAACGTCGAGTGACAAAATGCGATTATCTATCTTTTTAATGTTCTTACCCGAAAAGAACGATTTTGCTGGAAGATCTAAAAATTTTCCTGCATATCAGATGTTGAAAATAACTTTCTTAGATCACAATAATTTTTTTGTTGAAAAATTAAACCGGTTGCTAGAATATCTAAATTAACAGTTTTACAGAAATGCTCGTCATTTTTGTTTTCAACAAAATTATTTTGATGTGGTCTGAAAATTATTTTCAGATCTGTATCCTGCAAAACTTTAAGAACTTTCAGCACAATCGTTTTTTCCACGTAATGATATAGGCATGATGAAACTGTGATTGCGTTATTCATTGTTCTTTTATTTTATTTGTTAAACGTCTCCGTGACATTTTCCTAAAACAGTATCGACATCTCGGGGTATTATTGAAGCTCCGTCAGGGTTTTTTTTCTTCCATACCCTGATATCCGTCGAGTAACGACGCGATGTCGTTCTTCTTTATTGTCATAGACAGGTTGCGCAAAAGCTCGTTGGCGAAGCTTCGATGTATTTCCTTCCTCTCGCAAGCTGTCGCATCTCACGTTTCACGGCTGTCCTTCCGCATCACCGACTCGTCGCCGTCGTCGTCATCGTCGTTACCGTCATCACCACCATCGTCGTGCGTATCGTCGTCGTTGTCGTAGTAACACGGCAAAATAGTTTCGCGCCAGAACAATGCCACGATTACGTCGGTCCGTGTGCATTGTACATTATGAGAGAGGTAACGCGCGCGCTTGCTTCTGTAATTATGGAAACCAAGCATAAACTCCGCGATTTGCATTTCAAACTACTATTGTAATCTCGGGCCCCGACAGGCGGCCGCGTGCTCGTTCCTCCGTGCTCTCTTACCATACCTTATACCCATCTATCGCCCCCCTCGCCCTTACCCTTTTCGCCGTAGAATATTCCGAAATTGCCTCTTACTTTCGTGGATCCCCGCCGACCAATTTGAAGTCGGTTCGTTCTTAACGAAAATATACGAAGGCACGAATAGCCTTAAACTGCAGTTTAACTGAAATTAAAGGATTTTTTTGGGAGAATTATTTCAATTTCAGAAGGATACAATCTTATATTATTTCTCATTTTACTTTGGCGAGTCTCGCGAGGGTGTACGGCATTAAAAATCGTAAATCAGCTCCATTCTGCCGTTAAGAGCACGTCGAAATTATCAAAGAGATGAAGAGAGATGCAAAATCCGCGGAATCACGAATATTCCGTATACACATGCATGCGGATTCATCCGCGCACGCTGTCACTCTTCGTCCCGATTATCCACGTTAATGCGTTTCGACGCATTCAGCCAACCCGCCTGTAAACGCGTTTCCGGCACAAATTTTATTCCCCCGCACACAGGCGAAACGTCGGCGAAGCGATAACGCCGATAAATTCGTCTGGATTAATACAGAGCACATGTATTGGAAGCTATCTAAAAGGCCGATTCCACGCGCGCGGCGCGGTCGATATAACTTTCGATGGCGTGCAAAAAATCAAATAAAAACGGGCCGAAAATATAATATAAGCAATTCCGTTCTTTTTGGCCGACGGGTTCAAGTAAAATCGAATCCCCTGTACTCTCGATTTTACGCCTACGAGGAATTTTGTTATTGAGAGACGCGCTATCCCCGCGGGATATAACGGGGCCGCTTATCGAGCGGACATATGGCTTTGTGCGCCGTTTGAAAATCCGTTCCGCGAAAAGCAGATATTAATATTGAACGACGACGCGGGGATATGTATCGTTCGACATCGGGCGACATTTAAATCCCGCAGGGTGAATAAATGAAAAATTCGCGGCAAGCGCACCGCCGCGTCGCGGCGCCGATATTTTCCCGGGAACATGGCGAAAAAGTTACGCGCCCGCGTTACCCAAAATTGCGCCGCTAATTAGCGCGTTAATTATGCGCGGCATCACTAATTGCTCTCAAAGCCCCAGTCGCTCCGCGCGCGCGCGCGCGCGGCGGCGGATTTTGTTTTCCGAAATGGAAATTTGTTTGCATCGAGCCGCGAAAATTACCGCGACCGGCGGAGCGCATTCATTCAGCAGACATCTCGCTAATTGCTTTTAAACCCGCAACAAACCGGCTCACGGCTGCATTTCCCTATTATGCCATATTTATGTGCTTAAGTGCGTGCTATACGTATACGTACATATATGAAAATGTATCGCGTATCGTATAATAACAAAATGGCAGCCGTAAATAAAATAGTAGTAAATACGATACTCGGATATTGATAGTAATGCCAATGATAAAAATGGAAACAATGAGAAATGTCATTAATCTGCACGAATCCCGCTGTACCGCGCATACCGCGATAACGAGATCGTATTTACCTTACATTGTATCGACACGCATTTTTAATGCCGCATAAAAATATAGGAGGGGAAACATTTTTAACGCGATTAAAAATATTTGCAATAAAACGATCGCGCGAGGGTGAGGACGAGAGGAAATTTTATCACGCGGCCGAGATCCTGTAAAATACGGTCTGTCCCGCGGGCGTAAATCAGAATCGATATCGCACGGGCTCCGCCTGGTGCTGTATATATCCCGAGCCGGGAATGACGTGTTCGTCAATTTCCAGCGACGCGACACGGTAGGTGTGCGGAAACGTTATGCGAAAATCAACCCTCGGCGCTCTCTCGCGCGGGTCGCGTTTCTATTTGCAAGCCCGGTGTAAACGTGCCGATGGCGGAACCGCATTTCCCGACCGTGCATGCGTTTCCCGTTTACGGCGTACATACTATCGGGCCGATATTTCCATAAACATAGCGAGCGAGCAGGGGCGACACACGGCGCGATCGAGAGAGTGATCGACGTTAATTGGGTCTCCTCCAATTGCTTTTATATCCTCGGCTGCATTTTCGTCGCGCCTCGAGGCCGCCGCGCCGCGGCGGCCCGGGATGCATTTTCCGCGTGCGCGCGCGGGCGAGTCCAGCGCGACCGGGATTACATCGATTTCCGAAATGAACGAGCGAAACGATACTTTTTCGCGTCGTCGCCGCGCACAGGCGGCGCCGGTATTTCGGCTCGACAGCCCGACGCGATATTTTTGAAAAGCCCGGAGATATCATGTACGATGACTCGTTAACACCTCGTCGAAATCGTCGCGCAACGTCATGTCGGCGAAACGGTCGTGCACACTGTGTATTACAAGCCGGCCAGAGTACAGCGTACCTAAATGTATGGACTGAAAAATGTATATTTTCACGACAGCGGGACAACCACACACACATACACACACACACACACGCGCGCGCGCGCGCGCACGTCGGGATTTTATCTCGCGTTGCACAACAATGAAGAGTGGATGAATTGAAATTAAACGTATGAGAGTACACGGTATACGCGGTATACACAGTCGCGGAAATATTCGAGCGAAACAGACGTTTTTCTCTCTCTCTCTCTCTCTCTCTCGAAACGGACGTTTATTAAACATTAGTTTCGTGCACTCGCCACGGTGGAGAGCCGCTCGCGGGATCCAGCGGATCGTTAGTTAGCATCCTCATCGCTCAGTCATGCTATCGCTCTTGATCCATTCTCGTGTGGACTTAGGAGACCGTGTCGTAGTTAGAATGCGAGTCCCCGGGCGTTACGGGAACCGCTTCGTAGTTGGAATGACAAGTCCCTGGACATACGAGACTATCTCAATCTAATTACGAACAATATACATTGTCTCCTGCGCTTGCATCAGAGGGTGCCCGATGCATACAGCGGTGGTCTTTGATGCCAATGATATTCCAGAATAAACGCGAATAAATAAATCCAGAAGAAACTAGCCCTTTAATCGCGGTGGAAAATCACTGCTAAAATAATTATTACTCTTACGTATGTTAAAAATCATTGTTAAAATAGTTATCACTCGTATTATTAAAGTAGTATAAGCTCACGATGTAATCTTCATATTGTAGATTATTTCACGCGGGTGGAATTGATGGAATACGCGATACCTTATCGATCCTGCATATCGCACGTAGTGACAAGTGACACATCACGGCTCACCGTACGTCGAACTTTGTGTTGCAGGACATGTCCGACGTGTGCGTTGGGACCAGCGTGGGGACCATTACGGAGCCGGAGTGTTTGGGGCCCTGCGAGCCCGGCACCTCCGTCACCCTCGAGGGCATCGTTTGGCACGAGACCGAAGGAGGTAAGAACCTCGTTACAGCTTAATTCGCCCATTTGCCTTCGCAAGCTCCGCGCCACCTTGGACCTCCGAACTTCTTGTTATCCCCTTAGCTGCCTCTTAGTTACAGAGGATTAGGCAGCGAAATTAATCCTAGAAACGATAGCGTTTGATTTAGCGAACGCGAGGCATTGATTTTTAATGTTCTCTTAATTGACAATTATCGGTCGATGAAACGACATGCTTTTTCCCTTCGTCGGGAAAACGTATTTTTACACAAATTGATTTTATATTAATTTTCACGAGATATTGTTGGTTTTCTTTTTAATGTATTTAATTGTCACATCGCGCAGCTAATGGATCCCCAATTAAAGATAAATGAAATAATATTAATTTTAAATGATAATTTCACATGTAATTTCGAATAATATGTTTTTCATGCAAGAGTCAGTTCGCGAATACAGAAAATTTAATTACAATTAATTCTATTTGATATCTGAAAAGAGTATAACAGAGAGGATATTTCCATTTAGCTGCGATTATTTAATGATATTCTTTAATAAATTATCTATCGATCGATCTACCTTATTTTTGTCCAATGAAAATGGAGGATCCTTTTTTTCCTTCTCTCGGCAAAAACACGGTATTTTTATACAAATTGCGACCTGTGCAATTAATGCCGTGCAATTAATCTAATTTTTCTTTTAATATAATCGGAGGAATATTACACGCGCCCGACCGCTTTTCTCAAACTTCTCTTCTCGGATGCTAAATTAACAATCTATCCATTTTTAATCGATTCGTTAAGTATATACGACGGATTTAACTGTCAACGCTAAACGTCGCGGACGTCGGTAAAATACGAAGAATTTGCATTTCGGCCATTAATGATTCATGCACATTCCCAGGTACTTGCTTGCCAAATTTGCCTCCATCAAATTTACCCTGCTATTGCCCCCGAGGCACTGCGGATAAAGTCATACACGGTGCTTATTGATTTATCGAATTTCTGCAATTCGCTGAATAACAGTAATAACGCTAATGGTACCGCTGCATACACAGAGAATCTGCGTTATTATTATGGAAATCACCGTCGTCGTGAAGGGGGAATTAAGTTATACGAGCGCATCTTCTAGCGCGTTCAACGTGAAATCACCGCGTCCATCCGCCCACCTGCTTTTCCCGGGGATATTAAATAATATCGAGCATCGTTAGAGTTGCTTTACAAAATGATGTTCACCGTTAGCGGCGCGTTTAAACGCGGGGCGGGGTGGGGGGGGGGGAGGAAGCAGCGGCAGGAAACAAGAGCCCCGCGCGTTCGCATTTCGCGGGCATTTTCCTCGCGCTGTAATAACGAGCGATAATTACGCGAGAAAGGATTACAGGCGCCACTTTTCCGCTGTGCAGGAATAGAAAAACATTTATTTCCCCATGCATTCTCGACTGTATACAACATAACAATTTAAATGTATAACGTTTACTACCAGAAATTACTCGCACCGTTACATTTCCTCGTCACATAAATTGTTTTTCCATTAGCCGTTATTTTGTCGGCGATGTATAATGCCCGATAAATGTAATTGAACGTAATGTCTCGAGCGTCAGACACACCGCTTCGGAAATTTTCCGGTCTTTTTTAATTTTCATATAACGTTTCGAGCGGATCGACGTCGACTTGGATATATTCATGCGACACACCGACAGGACAAATGGCTGAATGAAGGGTCCGATAACGGAGGGACATGCATAATGTATCCCCTGATGAATTTGAGACGAGTCGACATTATCGTGAAGATTTTAAATGAAAGGCTATATATAATTACCGGCGGAACAGTCTTACGCGGGTTGGGGAACGGTCGGGGAAGATAAAACGAAACCTCGTGCCCGTAGATTAATTTCGAGCGGGCTCTCATCGAAATTTGATTTGCTTTCACGAATTTCGTTGTGATACTGATCTTCGGATTTAATGAACTCGATTATCGCAGGAGTTAACAAATAATGATTGACGGAATCGACGAATGACGGATCTAGTTGTTACAGAGTCGTTACGTTTATTCGCCCCGTAGCCTCGCGCGAATAAATAATAATCACATCTGTCGTTGTGGTTATCGGCGGAATAAAAGTCGTATCGTCCCGTGTCGACTGAAAATAACTAGCGCCGATGATCAATCAATCGTTTGCCCCGGGTAAACATTCGGAGAGAGCACCGATGTAATAGGAATAGCACTCGATCGATCTTGTTGCTGCTCGAACGATTCGGGGTTATAAATATCCGTCCGATATTCCGCCGGCCGGAAAAGTCGGGTAAATAAAAGCGTGTTGCAATCCCCGACATCATTATTTCGTTTGCCGAGTCGCGATCGTAATGTTAATGTATACGAAATTTTGACACTTCGTATTTCATTCGTATATATTTTTCAATTTAATATTTGTTTCTCGAGAAATTTCCAAATATTTTTCTGTCTTCCGAATATTTTACTTTGTTAAAAAAAAAAAGTTTTTATTATAAAATGTAATCGCACGCGGGAAAGAATAAATGCTTTTTGCGCGCGCGCTTCTCCGCGGACTATCTAATTTATCGCAACGTTACGCCGAAATATTGCACTGTCACGCCGGTGTATTTCCACGAGTAATGAGTGTGATTAGAACAAACGCGGATAAACTACGTAATTGGATCGCTTGCAAGCTTATTAAGACCATTTCGACAGTTAAAGTAGCGGTAACTCGATAACGATCACGTTTGCGAAGTAATGCAAATTAATTTATCCGCGGGTTTAAGCTTTCATCGCTTGTTAGCATACGTTCCGTAAGCTTAACATTCGCCGTTGTTTTACGGCTCGCGTACGTGTACCTATGCTCGCTATAAGCGAGCTACGCTTGACTCGCTAATTCCACATCGGCTGCGAAACGCACTGGCTGGGACTTTGCGTGCGACGCGCGGAATAATGTAATAACGTGGAGTGTTGATAGAGAAAATATATTTAAATATTTAAGAATACACGCGGTGTGTTAACGTATATGTATGTTGCGAGAAGCTCTAATGGACATACATATTTCTGCGCGTCACTTATTTCATGCCTTAATGAAAAAAATACGGAACGCCTTGAATAAATTATACGCGACTCGTACTAGTTAGCGCCGATGTATATCAGAGAAAGAGAGAGGGGGTATAAAAAATGCAACTACGTGAAAATCAACAACGTATATATATAAACTTATTCGGTGAACTTTTATCGAATTTATGTAATGAATATTGAAATTTGATTCGACTGATGATTAAGATACTTAAAAATTTACCGTGTCATTTCGAAACGTCAACTAATTTGATTCGCTGCAATTTATTAAAAACACATTACGCTCTTAACGAGAAGCAATCTTTCCGTCGTTCATGTAAAAGTTTATTAAAATTTACAATGTGCACATCAACGATTTTTCGCTCGACGAGCGTATTTCGATCGACTTTTTTTTTTACTTTCCACAGCGGCTGCTAGCCTGAAAGTTTATTAATGCTTTTTCCCTCTTATCACTCCCTGTATAATAATGAGCCGCGATATAATAATACGATACAATAATGCGCCGCGACTCGCACGCGAGATAAAAACTGATGTACGTAAAATGAAATTAATACAAAAGTGCCGGGAGACGCTCTCCGGCGGAATAAATTAATTCTACCGAGCGGACGAGCATAATTAATATCAATTTCGCTAATAGATCGTCTCCCCAATTCCCTGGGGAAGCCTCCCTGAGTTCCTATTCGTCGCCATGCCTCAACGACGATTTCTTTGTAATACGATTAAAGCGATCTGCGGAAATTATAAAGAAAGCCGCACGCTATATACGAATACACACGCGAGCGCTTCGCCCGCGCCTCCATTTACATTCGCGACAAAACGTGACGGCTGCGCGTAATACATGTTTCATGAATACAAATAAATTCTACAATATCGAGACATTCGAGACGCCATACCCCAAAATTATGGCTCATTCTTTAGCTCGAAATACTTGCGAAATCCATTCCCTTCGTCGTACAAAGCTTCTTTTTTCCGTATCTAATATCAAAAAGTTATATGAAATAATGTATAAAATGTAACGCACGCCCCCCCCCCCCCCACACACACACACACACCGTAAAATTATAAAAGTATAATTATGCCGACGGAATGAAATCGATAAAAGTCTGTTCTTCGCATGCGATACGCAAGATCCTGCCAACCGTTTCGGACAGGCCTACAATTAGTTTTACCCGAATCCTCGAATTCTCGAACCACACTCGAGCGTGCAACGCGGGCACATGCAACCGCATATACGCCTGTGCATGCCGTGCGGTAAGCTCTGCGTGCACACAAAAGCGCGTGTTTCGCACACACGGACGAGGATTACACACGCATACACACGTGCACACACGCGCGTACAATACGTACGTACACACTCGATACAACACGGGTAAGGTAGCTTGTCAGACAGGTATTATATGTAATGCCGCGGTCGTGGTTGTCGTCGGGTTAAACTACATCGTGACTCTCCCCGGTTGCTCTTCCCTCTTCCACTCTTTGTCCTCTCTCTCTCTCTCTCTCTCTCTCTTTCTCCATCTTTTTCCTTCCGTCCTTTTCTCATATATTCCTCTCGTGTTTTTCCCCTCTTCTTTCATTCGCGGCACCAAAGGTCCACTTTATGATCGTTCCCTCGAAGGCGGTCGAATCGAGTAGCTGTTTTTCACCGCGCTGGATCCCCTCGCGAAGTAAGGATAAATGAACGGCCATTATGTGAAAGGAGCCAAACGCTTCCACGTCAAAACTGAGAAATGGACTTTCAAAGTTTTCTAAAGAGAAAAATGTGCTCCCTTCGCCGTGACGGTAATTCGTAGGATTCTAATGTAAAGTTTAATCTACTTAATAAACGACTGCTTGAACCCGCTTGAAAATGTAAGTGCCTTGAGCTCGAAGTAGATAAAACTGACGTTTGGTACCTTTCATGTAAAAAGCCCGCGTAAAATACAGCCAGCGTGCATTTATGCGTACACGGGA